GCCCCAGCCCCCTGTCCCCGTCCCGCACCTCTTCCTCATGGTGACCACTCCGCTCTGCATCCACCGCTCGCTCCGCGGATTCAAACTCGCCTCCCGGACGCGCTCATTGGCTGCCGCGGGCGACGGCATCACCACACGCCCTGCCCACAACCGCCACTCGGGCCACGCCCTCTCCGTCAGCCTTCTCTTCCTACCCGCCGCTCTCGCGACCGGTACCGCCCCAAGCCGGCCACCAGCCAATGGCAGCGAAAAGCCTTCAGGGCTTCTAACCAATCACAAGCGAGACCGGCGCCGCTGTGTCACAGGTAACGGCACTCCCTCGCGAGGCGCTGGGCGCGCGCCCTCACGATTTGACAGCAACCACGTGACCTCGCGCGGACGCCCCCACCCGGGGCTGTGCCCGACCGCCACTGCGCATGCGCTATACCGCCGTCGCAGTTTCGCCCCCGGCCCCCACCACACAGGGGCCTTCGCCGGGCCCCCGCCCGCCCCCAGCGCCAGGCCGAGCCGGAGCTGTGCCAGGAGAGATGTTTATTGACAAGGGGGGCACGGAGAGCGGCAGAGCCCCCCCCAGCCCCGGCCGGGCCTCACGCCTTGGCCTCGATCATGGCCTCCATCATACGGGCACTGTTGGTGATGGCCGTGGTCAGGAAGATGAACTTGCACCCTGGGGGGGGAGAGGCCCCGCCAGTGCCCCTCCAGTCCCGGCCGTGCCGTGGGGCAGAGCGGGCATGGGAGAGCCTGCCAGGAGGGCCCATGGATCTCGCCACCCCCTTCCCTGCTGGCTCTAACCACCACCAACACCAGGCATGGCCGCTGCTCGGCTTTATGCCATGATTGCTGGGTGCCCCGAGCTCTTGCCCACTCCCTGCCCCTCGGCAGGCAGCAGCCCTCCCCCTGCCCCCACTGCAGCTCCTACCTCTCTCCTTCCCCAGAAACCGAAGAGCAGCAATTTCTGAGAAGGTGCAGCCCCCCAGGAAGACGGCAAGGATGACACGCTGGGAATCCCAGGCGGGGTTGTCCTCCACGGCGCTGTCTGGATGGGGCAGAACACTGTCGGCCCCACCAGCCCCAGGCCCACCCACCCTCAGCCCGGTGCTGGTGCTACCTGAGACTGAAAACTCATTGCCGTTGAGCAGCCGCACAACCTCCTCCAGGCCCAGCCAGCCCCGGCGCTCCAGCACCTGGGGGACAGGGCAGGGGGTCAGGCTCAGGCCCAGTGGGGCTGGGCTGCAGGTGCTGGGCACAGCTCAGCGGAGGGAAGCATTGACCAGCAGCTGAGCACTGCCAGCCCCAGCCCTGGGCAGAAGGACCCCCACCAGACCCCCCAGAAGGAGGCCAGGGCTCAGAGGGGATGCACGCAGTGCTCCCCAGCAGCAGGTGGGCTCACCTGCTCAATGATCTTGCAGCTCAGGGGGACGTAGGCCCCACTGAAAACGTAAGCCATGTCCCGAGGCATCTTCAGGTCGTACTCTCCATCCACCCGGGGGATCTGCAGAGATGTGCAATACTCAGGGTACAGGACCAGCCTGCTGGGGGCTTCACCAACCCCCTTAGAGGTGCAGGCGGGTGAGGAGGGACAGACGCTCAGAGCAAGCCTCTGCCCCCACCTCCTGCCCCGCCGCCTTCGGGCCAGGGCCAGCAAACACATGGCCTGGGCAGGCTGTGCATTGGAGGGCCAGGGACAGAAATGTCACCTCTCCACCCCCTCCTAAGACCAAGGCCACAGAGCTGCCCCCCCCCAGTGCCAGGCAGCTGCACAAAGCCAGCGCTGCTGCTGGAGCTGGGCCAGAGCATTTGCAGGCAGCGAGGTGAGCCCCAGCCCCTGCACAGCCGGAGCACCCGGCCCTCCACCAAGCCGGTGGGGCCCAGAGTCAGGGCAGACTGAGAAGCCCGCAGTGACCTCCTGTCTAAGGGAGAAGCTCCTCCACTGCCTGGAGCAGCGGCAGCAGCTCTGGCCCCATGCAGTGAATGTCCCTGGGGATGCTGAGCCTGGAGAGGCAGGCACGGGCACAGACTGACCAGAGGTCTTCTGGCACCAGTGGGCACATGGGCAGAGCGGCAGGCCAGCAGCCCTGCGAGGACATACCAACCCCAGCTTCTTGCTTATGGCTCGAAAATTGCTCTTCCTGGCCAAAGAATTAAACGCATCAGTGATCTTTCCTGGAAAACAAGATGAGGAGAAACGGCCTTGAAGGAGAGGCCTGGAGTCTCTGGATCAATCACAGCCACAGGCTGGGCAGAGGGATGTGCAGAGCTCCTGGCTCTAGAAGAGAACTGGCAGCGGTGCCTGCCAGCCCTGTGGCCCCTGTGGGCAGAGGCAGCACCATCTCTGGGGACGTGCTCTGTGCCTGCAGTGTCCACGTTTGCCACATGCTTCCAGCCAGCTCTGAAGCAGCAGCTCCCGACTCCAGGGCTCCTCACAGCCCAGGCTCCCAAGGGACTCATGGGGCAAAGGGCAGGCTCTCACCTGCAGCGCGGTCCGTCACCAGCTTGCTGACTTTGCTCTCCACAGCAGTCAGAGTCTCTCCAGCCGACTGCTCGGTCAGCAGCCCGATGCGCTTGAGGTTGTGGAAGGTCAGCAAGTGCTCAGGCCCATAGCTCTGGGGAAGGGGGCAGCTGCATCAGCACGGAGCCCCAGCTGCAAGCATGGGAAGGTGGCAGGGTGCCACCTCCATGGGGGATTCTGCTTAGAGCAACCCTGCAGGCAAAGGGCAGGGGCAGGCAGAGCTCAGGGCTCATGCAGAGCCCATGGAGGCAAGGGCCATCCAGCAGAGACAGCCTGAGCACCCCTGGATAGTGCTGCTGCCCGGCGCCTTGCAGCAAGCAGCAGGCAGGAAGGGGAAGCCCTGTCCAACACAACACTTGCTCTGCGGTGAGCCCCCAGTCCCTCACCTGCAGGTACTGGGTTTTCAGGGAGCGGTAGTCTTTGGGGATGAGACCTGTGGGGAGCACCAGGGTGAGCTCTGCGCCAAGGCTGGAGGGCCCTGGTGCCACCCCTCCCTGCCCAGTGCGGCCAAACACCTCACCGTTCTCTGTGATGGACAGGAGGCACATCAGGCGCAGGCTCTCGATGGGGGACACCTGTGTGGGAGCAGGAGGTGAGCTGCCTGCAGCCCCCACGTCCATGCAGCGGGATGGGGTGGCCAGAGCAGCCCGTCCCTCTGGCTCAGTGTGGTCTCACCTGCCGGTCAATGTGCTCCTCTATGAAGCTGGTGCTCTCACGGATGTCGAAGCCCTCCAGCAGAGCTATGGCGGGGAAGAGGCAGCATCACTTCACCCACCCCCAGTGCTCTCACCAGCTAACCAAGCTGGAGTCTGGGCTCAGCCTCCCTCCCTGAGCCCCAGGGAACGGGGCAGGCTTGCAATGCTGGGCCTCCTACCCCACCACATGCCAGCCCTCTGAGGATGTGGCTTGACCCTATCTAGGACCTCAAGACCCACCCCAATGCAAACGGTCTGGAAGGACTGTGGTCACGCAGGGGGCACCCAGGTGTGAGGCTGCCCAGGGCTGGGGCAAGTGGGTCGGAGGGGAGGGCAGGGAAGGGAGGATTGGGACAGGAGCAGCAACAGATGCGGGACAGGGAACAGTACTCACAATGTTCAGCCTTGATCATCTCCTGGAAGTCCTGCTTGGTCTTCTTTTTCATGATGGACTCGCAGGCACCAATATCTGCACAGCCAAGAAAGAGGGCCACTTTGGAGGCATAACAAGCTCTGCATATTGCTTGTCCTGCCAGCCCCAGCCCCACTACGGACTCTTGCACATACTAATGGCCTCTGTAACCCTGCCCACTGCTCAGATCATCTGCCCCTCCTGGGGACTAGCAGGGCCCTTCAGCCCCTGCCACTTTCCCCGGGAGCCCAGGCACCCGCTGCAGCACCTCTCCCTCCCCACCGTCCCAGCCCCAGCTCCTACGCAGGCTCAGCAGGCGATGCTCTTGCTTTAGTCCCTTCAGTTCCTGAGAGACAAAGTTCTTCATCTGCTTGATGTCCATGCCACGGCGCCGCTGTGGAAGAAAGAGCACCTGGGGAGGTGACCTGGACGCGGAGGGATGGCACCGTGGGTGTCCCACACACTGGGGTGATACTCACGTCATACTGTGCCTGCAGGTTACGCGACTTCTGGCTCAGGAAGCCAAACACGCTAGAGAAGTGCTCATTCCGAATCTGGCTGAAGACCTGCAGAGAGCAACGCAGCAGTCGATGCTGGGCCCCATGCTCCCCTGTGCCAGCACGGGGCCAGCCCAGCCACAGCCCCCAGCATGGCAGCAACTGGAGCTGACGCTTGCCAGCAGCCTGACAAGGTGGTATCCCCACTGGGGCAGTCAGTGCCCCAAAATACTGACTGGCTGGCACAACACACCCCTGCACACAGGGACTCCGACGACTACAAGAGCGAAGCTGTGCCTGCAGACCACGTTTTTCCAGTCTCTGTGCCCCGACCCTTCCCAACCTGTGCTCTGAGACCCAGCAGCACCCGGCCGCTCCCTGCTCAGGCTTAGGGGAGGAAATGCCTGGCTCAGCCTCCCCCTGGTGCCACCTGGGCACGGAGGACGGGGGGGACCCCCTTTCCCCGAGGCATATGAGCAGGACTCACTTTGTCCTGGGCATTAAGCAGCACCTTAATACTCTTGTCAGAAGAGGTGACGTCTGGCCCAAAATCCACACTCCCTGCAGAGAAAGATGAAGTGCTGCTTTGCCCCAGGGCTAGCGACATCCCCGCACGTGTTGGCCCTGCTGCAAAAGGCAGCAGAGACAGGGGACGCCCGCCCAGCCCAAGGGCTGTCCTCGTGGACAGACTCCAGCAGCACCCCACACCAGGACTGTCCCTGTGGGGAACAGGCTCAGCTGCAGCACACAAGCCCTGGGTCTGACAATGCTGGGCACAAACCCGAGACTCTTGCTACGCAGGCACGGAGCCCCGAGCCGCCCTGTCGCCTTCCCTGGTGACCTACCACACTTGATGCGGAAGGTGTCATCCACCAGCCCCTCGTACACCACCTGGGAGCACAGCGCTGTCACGTAGTCCGTGTCTGCAACGAGAGCCACTGCCCAGGCTGCCCTCACCCTTCTCCCTTGCCCACCCTCCTTGCCTGCCACAGCCCTGCCCGACCTCGACTGCTGCAGCCAGCCACCCTGTACCTCCTGCTGCTCCCTGCAGCCAGCACACGCTCTCCTTGCCCCTCCGGGCAAGCTGCCGGCCCAAACTGCTCCTCCTTGCCCGGCCCTTGCCCGCTGCCCTCCTCACTCCAGCCTACCTCTGTCCATGAGGAAGACGTTGCCAATCTCGGGCTTCCTGCCCTGGCCATCAGCCTCGCTCTCCTCCTCCAGGTCCCGCCACAGCTCGTAGCTCATCTGTGACAGGCAGAGCATGCCAGGGCCCAGGGGAGCAGCCCCAGGCTCCCACCGAGGGCCGCAGCCTGCCCCAGCACTGGCCCCTTACGTGCTGCTGCTTCCCCACCTGGGAAGAAGCAGCAACGTGGTGCCACCTCTGTGGTGACACAATGCCACATGGCTGACGGGGTTTGATTCCCTGTGAGCGGTAGTCCTTACAGGACCAGAGAGGCTTCCCCATGTGCTAGCCGAGCGCAGGAGTGCGGACCATACCTTGGCACACCTGCCAATCCCGTAGGCCTTGCCGAAAGGCCCGTACAGGGAGTTCAGTAACTGCAAGGCTCGAGCGACGGAGTTGATCCACCGGTGATCTCCTTCCTGCACAGACAACAAGACATGGGGGAGTGAGTCAGGGCAGGCTGGCTGGGAAACAACTGCCACACTGGGGGACTCGGCTGGAGACGGACTGGGGATGGAGTGGGTCCTGGGCTTGGTGCTTCCAGGAGGAACATGCACAGGAACATGCTGGGATGCCCCGAAGCTGCTTGGGAGGGACCAGAGGAGGGGCCAGCACAGGGGGAGGTGTGTGAAGGAGGGGAAGCATCACAGCCCATCAGAGCCCCTGGTAAAAGCCACCCTGGGACAGAAAACAAGGGCCTGCGGTGAGGGGACTGAGCAGGATGTCATGCATCAGCTCTCTGAACAAAGCTCTTCTGTCCCGAGCCCAACAGATGAGCGAGGGAAAGGCTGCCACCCTGCAGGGCAGCGTCCCAGCGGTAGTGTCCCACTGACCAAGAAGTAGTCGCGAAAGAACTCGGGCAGCTCCATGCTGATGATGTCTTCGTCCAGGGGAAGCAGGTAGAAGGACCATTCATCGCAGGTGACGTCTGAGTTTGGGACAAGGAAAGATGACAGTTACCCAGCCCTCAGGAGAAACAGCCCCAAGAATCGCGACAGCCCCACAAACAGGGGTGTGGGGAGCAGAGAGAAGGGGTCATTCCACAGGGATTCATGGCAGGACCCTCTCTCCTCTCAGAAGACAAAGAAGAGGCACCGATGCTGTAGTGTGCACACGCCTGCCCGTAGGCAGGCAGCGAGGCTCAAGGGAACCCGTGGTTCCTGCTTGCACTCCCATCCCTCCCAGCACAGGGATCCCAGTACTGGGATTCAACTGGGATTCTGTGGCATCAGAGCTACCACGAGCCAGCCCTCGGGGTGGGGGAAGAGGCAGGCGCCACAGCTCCACTCACCACCAAAGACTCCTTCTTCCTCCAGCACCATCTCACAAGCATAAAACTGGAAGAGAAGGAGGGACCCTCAGGGCCCAGTCAGGCTCCAAGCGAGCAGAAAAGATCTGGCGACGGACGGCACCAGGTCATTCCCAGGCATCGCAACATTTGGTTTTAATTAAACATTTCTGGGTTAGAAACAAAGAACTTCTGGTGTCCGTAGAAGGGGTGGAAGGCACGAAGGCCACACAGACACAGAGCGACAAGGTAACTGGCAGCAGAGTGTGGTCAAACTGACCTTTTGGGGGCTGAAGATAATCTTGTACTTCCTGCTCCTCCCTGACATCTTGTCAGCATTGACAATATCTGTGGACAAAAATCGCGCCAACTCTGCAAAGGCTGCCCACCCCCCTGAACCAGCACAACTCCTCTTGTCTGATGAGGTCCAGGGTCCCACACCTCACAGGACCCGAAATACCTCAGGCAGAGAAAAAAAAACCCTGGGCATGGGGCCCATCTGCCAAGGCTGCGGACCTGCTGAAAGCACTTCTTCAAGCCCACTCAACACCGGTAGCCCAGAGCACCGAGCCCAGCCCAGGCAGTGCGGGATGCTCCCCATGAGGCAGCTGCAGCCCGAGCTTCAGTGTGGGGCTGAGTTGTCACCCATCAGCAGCGGGTAATGGACAACTGCCCCTCGGCCGCTTGCACTCACCGGCGATGTACCTCATCGTCTTGATCCGTGGCCGGACGAGGAAGCAGAACCTGCCATCATAGAGCGATGGAGGGGAGTGAGAGGCCCCTTGTGCCCGGCCCATCCCCTCAGCAGCTCTGCTGTGGGACCCGTCCAGTCCAGCGGAGACAAATCCTGAGCTGGAAGAGGCACCTGCCCCCCCACCTGCCCCCTGCCTCTTGCCCCCAGATCTGCGCACCCCTCTGGCCTGGCCTAGCTGTGGGGTGGCTGCAGGCCGGCTGGGCAGCCCCAGTGCCACCACAGCAGGGGACTCACTGGTCACTGGCGCTGATGACCGGCCGGCTCTCCACCTTGTACAGCTTGTCCACCTCGTGCTGCTGCAGGGAGAGGCCGGGGCGTGGGCAGGCAGTGTGGGCAGCGCAGGCAGCAGGCAGCCCCCGCCCCAGCCCCCGCGGTACCTTCAGGATGGAGACGTTGGCTATGCGGTCCAGAGGGCTCATCAGGTCCGCCTCGATGAACAGGTCCTTCTTCCCGGGGAGCTGAGGGCAGGCGGGCCGTGGGGCCGGCGCCCCACCGGCCGCCCCGGGGCCGAGCCCCCT